TGTGCTTCACGCCTTTTCTGAAGCTGACTGTTCTTGCCGTTAAGGACATTGTGGTGTTCACCACCATCTGACTTCTTGACCACTAGGCGGGACATAGACTTCCCTCAAAAAAGTTGGCCCTCGGCTCAAATGGCTAGTATGAAAGTGGTGTCCTGTAAGGTCTTACGGTTTTACGGAAACTTCTTGATCTGATTATGAATCAAAAAGTGAAATTGTGCATCATCGAGGCCGCCAGCAAAGCACTCTTCGTCCAGAGTGACAATGTTTGTGGGGGCCCAGGATCAAAACCGAGCGCCCTTCCTGTATTCCAAGACACATTGGGAATAGCAGGTTGCTGCCCAGTGTGGAACTGATAGTATACGTGAAGGAAGCAGGCATTCCCTTCCCACAAGCCGTGGCTGCAACTTGTTACGTGCTAGGCACTGCCAGGCTGGTGCTTATACAAACTAGCATCTTCACTCTGTGCGCGCTGCTTGCCAGTTTTTCTCGACCTTTTTGCCTCGTACGAAACTGATCATTCTGAATTCAAAGAAAATCGTCCCCCACTTCAACTCTCACGCACTCCCTGGTAATCAGTCGCGATAGATCTTCACCCCAGAAGGGTTGTACAACTCGACGCCCATGATCGGCTTAAATTGCGGAATCGTCGTACGTAAGGGCCAACGCCCTTTGAAGTGTTTCACCAAAGTCCAATAAGAGGGGGCAAACTCATGCATCTCATCGCTGTCATAGATTACAAGCAGGACATCGACAAGGTGGCTCTGTTATATCTGTTCTCACTTGTCTGTATGCTTACCAACAACAGACTCAAGATTACGATGACGGTCACGACACCCAATGGTCCAGAAGTTCAACATGCTGAGATGGTAAGCCCTCATCGATGGGAGGTCTTCATATCTGATTTATCAATCAGTAACCTTTCAGGGCTTCCAGAAAAGCGCTCCTCACTGTTCAAGACGGACTGACTGACCCAGTTCCCCCAAGGGTTTCTCATCGGCGACTCCAAATCCAGTGCCCAGGACTACGTAGACGTGCGGTGCTGTTTAGCGCGGAACGGAAGAAGTTGGTCTGTGCGGTTAGGTGGGTTGAGTGTGATGCATGAACTATGTATACTTATCTTGGGTTTTCTATCAGGGCAACGGGAAACGACAGAATGGAAGGTCGATTTGACGCAACCACACCAGCTACAAACCCTTGTCTGAGACTGGTTGGAAGGACTACACCAGCCATGACGTCGGCAAACTGGAACTACAAAACCTTCGCATTCAGGACCTGACTTGGATGGAAGAGTCGAAATCGCAGTGGTACGTTGTCTATGCCTACGTCGTGTTTCCCTAAACCCTTCCTGCACAGATCGGCCCTACAATCCCTGCCACTCCACAGGAAGGTCGTTGTGAATGGTAGTCATTCTCATTTGCGACTATCTCTATTACAACTCGCGTAATTACTGATTCCTATTCTAGAACACAGGGAAAAGACGACTCGATTGGTTTTCAGCGTTTTAACGAGCCGCGCCACCTCGACTCCTTAAAACCCAGGAATAGCAGTCGCCAGCTCTGTCCGAATTGATGTCCGTTCGAGTTTGGATCGCAGGGGTATTCCTAGTGCGGTGCTTCGAACGTGTGGAAGTTGGGTTATGAAGCAAAGCGTCATCTGATGCTCACCGTCGCTCTTCAGCGGTGCAAATGCTCTTTGGCTGTGGGTACGCTGAATGCAGGGCAAAGCCGTTAACCGTACACTAACAAAGTCTGGTAGAGGACTTGCTGGCCCAGGTGGTAGCAACCCCATCCATCTAAGCAGAACTGGAGAGGAAAGGCAAGTAAATATTCACTTCTTGGTGTTGTAGTTCGGATATCTCTCTGTAGCTAGCTTGCTGTTGGACAGTAGAACAGCTGGCTAGCCATGACAACAATGAAGAAAAGGGCCAACTTCGGTACGGACAACGTGAGTTGTGTCATTCGATGCGGGTGCACGTTCTTACAGGCTTTGATGTAGACTTGTCCCCTGATGGTGGGGAGCATACTCAAGATCGGAG